GCTGGGCATAGTCCGTACCATACACGCTCAAAGCATGTGCTCTTGGTTCCAGCATTTCTTGCTAGTGGTTGGTGATGCTGAACTTAACTTCATACCTGTCTGTAGTAGCCCATCAATCATGTTGACTAACTCGACTGTTTAAAAATGATTCAACACCTAGTGAAAGAACTCACGTGATTGGATCTGTCACATAATTATCCTTTTAATTAAATGGGTATATCATTTTGTATAAAATACATTCAAAATTATTGTTCAGAACCCTTATTAGGTTAATGGGGGGGAAAAAGGACAGGACTAGTGGTTTGGCATACGTAAGCAACTATTACAGGTAATTTGTTCTAGCTCAGTATTAATTAAGCTAAACAAAAGGTAGAAGGAGGTTTCAAAGTGAAAGATAAACATGAGAGGGACTTTCTTCAGGCAAAAATTTATAAAACTGCTACCTAATGCCAAATTGATAGTAAACGTCATGAGGTTTTGAGATGGCATACAATTATGACATCTTGACACTTTACCTTATTAAATTAGCAAAATGAAGTAGTCAAATTGCATTCCTTTAGTACTGAAGGTGTGCTTTCACAAAGGTTACCACCTGTACATGCCCAAGCCCTGTTGGAACTTAGTAGATGTAAGGAAGATAATTCTGTCGTAACAAGTAGCTTTTCTGTACTCTTGACACTAATAATCTTTCCTTCCTTCAAAATAACTTTTAAGATTTTGTTTGGTGACCAGTAGTCATGGTCTGCATACTCTCATTTCACTCAAGCACACCATGTTCAATGCCATGCCAGTTGTTCTTTGTTGATGTGTTGCATGTTTAAGTCATTCAATAAAACTTTTACATCTGTTACTGTAAAAGCCAAGCATCCTCAGAGTAAGTTACTTAGACTTACCTAATATCCTGTCTAATGGCTGAAGAACAAGGATGAAGATATGAAATGGAAAGAAATTAAAAATCCCAACCTTGAAGAAACTGAAGCAAGATGAGGAGTGCCTCTTAACAGAAGGCTAAGCCCCCCAGCTGTCTGCCTTCTCTCCCCTTTCACACCTTAAATCAAGTCATCATCAGTCAGTTGTATTTCATGGGTTTATCTTTGACATGTTACTATCTCTCTGAATAGTTGGATTGTATACTCTTGTTTCGTACAGGTGTTGGTGGCATTGAAGCAGAAGCAGTGATGTTGGGCCAGCCGATCAGCATGGTGCTTCCTGAAGTGGTTGGCTATAAGCTGCTAGGAAACCCTCAGCCACTGGTAACATCCACTGACATTGTGCTCACCATTACCAAGGTAATGAACATCTGCTATTTTGCCCATACTGCTGGAAGCTGTGCGTGTTATGTAGGACAGAGACACTGTACTGCATGCTTGGGAGCCCTGTGGGTTGCTTCCATGTAGTGATTTTTGGAGTTGTTTTAAGCTTTTATTGGTCTGTGTGCGTTGGAATCAGCTGCCCAAGGACAACCACAAATGTGCTAGGCAAATCTGTTTCCCAGAAGCCAAATGAAATAGAACAGAGAAGTGATATCTTAGGGCTTGTTCAAATCCTCATATGCAGACCTGTTTTGGAACAATGGTGCTTGTAAAAGGATCTTGTTTCTCTACTGCCTCAAAAGAAACACAATGACTTTCTTTTTTTGAAGTCCCCACTTAAAATAAGGCAATGTAAAACCTGAAAACAGACAACAAGCACTGCAGTCCGATTTCTTTGATCTGCAAGTGTTTGGCTCATGTGTCATATGTTCTCAATACGTTTATTCACTCTCTGGATTGTGACTGAAGAGTATTATTGGGTCAGCATTAATGTTGTTGGAGGTCAGAAATCTGGTACACATGTTCACCATGGGATGCTGTCTCTAGAGCGAACCTTCAAATGGGGAAAGCCAATGGGTTTTTTTATGAGTTCATCTAGATGTTGTGTGTGTTCAGTCATTCACGGTTTGATTCATGTACTTGTGCTGTTGGTTCTTCCTATTTCCCCACCTTCGTGGGTTTGCAAAAGAGCCAGCACTGTTCTGTCCTTGGAATCTGATGTTGAGAAAAATACAGTTGTTCTGAGATAGACTCTCGTTTAAACGAGAGGAAGAACAAGTTTAGAAGGAGTACATCCCTGTGTTGTACCCTGTTATTGAAACTTTACATCTCTGTATAGTCATCTTCATGGTTTAGTTTACAAAAACTTCCTGATTTCTGATGGGTATAGAAACCTTCTAAAAAGGTTCCTGTGACGTCAGAAGCTGGATTTCGTAACATACATGCTCAGCTCGTTTGACACAGGCACTGTATTTTTATAACAGCACCTTCGCCAAGTCGGAGTCGTGGGTAAATTCGTCGAGTTTTTTGGTCCTGGTGTAGCCCAGCTGTCAATTGCTGACCGAGCCACCATTGCCAATATGTGTCCAGAGTATGGAGCAACAGCTGCCTATTTTCCAGTGGATGATATTAGCATTGGGTACCTGATACAAACCGGTGAGTGTAAGAAGAGACTACAACTTAAAGGTGTAAATGAAAGCAAGGACTCCAGATCTATATGGTGTAGACAGCAATGAGGTTGAATTAGGTGGAGCCTTCTGAGCTTGAGTGCTTTTTTTTTATCCATGCTGGCTTATTCAAGATGTTTCTTGTGCTTAGGGTCTGTGTTTAGAAAAAGCCGAGTTTTAGACTGTTTCACAGCTAACTGCGTGCTTAGCCCTGCCCAAATCTAGCTTGTCCAGACGACAGATACAGGAACGTAGGTTTTTGTTCTGCAAAAGCCACTAAGTCTGCTCAGTTGCTTTGTTTCTAGTAAGTCTCTAATACTTGTTCAGAAAGGGTCTTGTTGTCCAGTGTGAACAGTGCACTACTTATAGTGCAAGGTAGTACAGTGTGAACAGTGAAATAGCCTGTTATGCGTGTTTTTTTTCTTTTTCTGTCACATAGTAGTTACTCAGCTTCATTTGCATTTTGATTTTGCTATATCTGGCTTTCACCATAGGCCGTGATAAAGAGAAAGTGTTGTGCACAAAAAAGTACCTCGAGGCTGTGGGAATGCTAAGAGATTTCAAGAACTCCTCTCAGGATCCAGACTTCACACAGGTTAGAAACTACTCTGTCTTCTGGCTCCTTGCTTTATGCCCTGCCCTATTTTAATGTGACAATTGTCTGTTTTGCACAGAAATTAAGTAGTTGTCAAGGGACTCCTTATCCTTTGGCTTGGTCCACAGAGCTGTCTTAACTTAGGGCCCAGTGGAATGAGCCAGCTGGCTCTCCAGGTGTGAACACTCGGGCATAGGTATAAATTGGCTCTCAGTTGAGCTTTCGCTGGTGCAGATTGTGCAATTTGATCCATGCAGTTTTGAGAAGTCCGGTCCAGATTCAAACACAGCTGTGAAGAAAGTGTGGATATTGTCTGTGTAAGCCTTGTCCCAGTTTTACCCTTCTTCTGTTTAGCAACTTATTTTGCTGTGTGAATCAGGACACTTTAGAAGCTCTCTGCAGTAACCAGACCACGCAAGCTACTTTCTATGCAGTAAAATCAAGATCTTGCTCTGTGTCTAGGAAAGTCAGCAATATTCCTGGTTTTCTCTACAGTAAGAATTTACCTTGTAACTTACGTTCAAGTTTGCACAATTATCCAAAAACCTTAGTAAATATGGAAAGATGCATAACACTATAAAAACAAAGTTGAAACATGGGTGAGGAACAGGAAAATATGATAATCTCTGTTTCATAATAAACTGAACGTTTTCCCTAAGGCCAAGATGAATAGTCTGCTTTGGTTTATGCCAGTACCAGGATTTCTTCACATCATTGTTTTCTGAAGAGGACCCTGCTGCTAGCATGTGAAAGGACATAGTTCTCAAAATCATCTATATTGTTTAGAGGCTGTAGTCACACATTGGGATTTCAATAACTGGGGTAGTTTTCAGAGCCATACCTGGGAGCTGGTAGGGTCTAAAAGTAAAACTGTTCCTTTTCTTCTAACCTTTACCTTCTCTTTGATAATTTCTGCAAACAAACATAAAAGATGTGCAATTTTAGCCTTGTTTCAACAGCAGAGGTAAGCATACCTGTGGCTCAGCTGGCTTCAACTTGTCATGCAGTGCTGAACCACTCTCTGTTCCTCTTACTGAATAGGTTGTTGAGTTGGATCTCCATACTGTTGTGCCTTGCTGCAGTGGACCAAAAAGACCTCAGGACAAAGTTGCTGTGTCAGATATGAAGAATGACTTTGAGACTTGTCTGGGAGCCAAGGTAGGAACTAGGAACATTTGGGCATACAAACTAATGCATGTTTCTGAAAGTCTGGTGTTCAGGAACTGCATTCTGGGGTTAACTTGTGTATTGTTTGTTTGCCTATTGAAAAGTAAGTGAGGATGTTTGAATGCAGTTTAGGAGGTTACATCGACAATGGGTAGTTTAGATTTAGAGTGATGAACACATGAAGGTGTTCATGTCCTATTGAAGTAGTAGTTCTTTCTGATTTTTGATCAGTCTTAGGCCTAACATGGTTTTGACATCAACTAGAGATTTCTGTGAACTAGCCACAATGGGTGGTGTTAGTAGTCAACCAAGTAGCTACTGCACTGAGCCCTGTGCGAACTACCCAGCTCTTAAGCTTCCCAAGCAGGTTATGTCATGAGCTCCCCAATGTAGTTTTGCATTCAGTACTGAATCTATTCAACAGATCAGAACTGCGTGTGTCTCTGTGACTCTTTGATGTTGGTGGTAAAGACAGAAAAAAACTTCTTGTTACATTATCCAGTCAAAAATTGTTATTGAAAGAGCAAGATTTTAATTTTAATTAATATACCCAGATGCATAAGTTTCCGAAATCAGTTTGAATCCTCACCTGATACAGTAACAGCCTTTGTAAAAGGCGGTACAGAAGTCTAGTGATGTAAATCAAGAAACCTAAGCTACAGCAATTCCCAATAATTATTGGTTTGGTATATATTCCAATCTCCATTAAATAACCTTATGCATTCGGGTGTCTAAGCGTAATTTTTCATGGTGTGAACAGTGCCTTCTTGCTTGTTGTTTTGGGTTGTTGGTTTTTTTTTTTCCAACTGTCAGGCTTTTGCCTCTTGAGTCAGCTCTTAGTATAAGTTTGAACTGTTTGATATTCATGCCTTACAAATCTTAAGTGTCACTGCTAAAAATCTCAGGACTAGTTTGTGTAACAAAGACTGTATGTGGTGAGGAATCTGGACATATGGGAGCAAGAAACATCTGAGCAATCTGAAGAAGGATTTATTCATGCAGGAAGAAAACACAAATACGTTTTGCTGCAAAGGCTGCCTCTTTTACTGGTAAACAGAGAATAGGATAGACCCTAGAAAAATAATTTTTGTCCTCCACTTTGACTGACCAGAGGTGCAAGCCTTCTCCACCAGATCTAAAAGTGCAAGTATGGTTGTGACTGACAGGTGCTTCTCATTTGTGAAATTCCCAGCCCATACTAATTTCCAGTCAAAATATTTCTATTAACCACATCCTTTCTTTCTTTCTTTCCTTCTTTCTTTCTTTTTCTTCCTTTCTTTCCTTCTTTCTTTCTTTTTTTTCTTTCTTTCCTTCTTTCTTTTTCTTTTTCTTTCTCCTCTTACAGCAAGGATTCAAGGGATTCCAAATTGCCCCAGACCGACACAACAGCGTAGTCAAATTTAATTTTGAGGGCTGTGACTTCGAGCTTGCTCATGGTTCAGTAGTGATTGCTGCCATTACAAGCTGTACAAACACCAGTAACCCTTCAGTTATGTTGGGAGCAGGTAAGTTTATTTACTTGATGTGCAGTAGTTTCTCTATGGCTCTGGCTGTGTGTCCGAAAAGACAAATACAACGCTGATGTAATTCTATGTGCACAGTGCTGTTTTTGTCATTTGGAGTGCTAAAACTGAGCTTAGTCCCTAAGGGCAGCAGAAGGAATTCTGGAAATGGTAGCTGGAAGCATGGATTGAAGAAAATGTACTTTTCCTGCACCGTTCTCTCTACAGGGCAAGCTGGAACTGAATTAACCAGCACCTCTGACGTGTGTTGAAATCCACAGAAGCTGTTATATAGAGCTGAGAAGAGGCTATTGAAAGTCAGAGCCACAAGAAGAGGGACAGTGAAGAATGGTCTATGGGTTTAAGTCTGAAGGTGCTCTGATCTGGCAGCGGAGTAGAAAACACACACTTAGCTAGAGGTGTATCGAGTTGTTACAGCAAGAGTCTGAGGGCATGTGGGGGTTGAGCAGGAAACAGAAACAGAGGAAAACTGTTCTCAGGGATTGCCATCTTTCAGAGCCTTGTCATTTGCATCTTATCTGCATCCAAGAAGTAGTCAGAGAAGGGTCTTCTATCTCCCCACTTTCTTGCTTATTACCATTCAAATACTACAAAACGGTTGGTTCGAGTGGTTGTGTTAAATTTCAGATTAGGAGGTTGTTTGTTTTTAACCTGGTTTGTCTGGGCAGAAAATTTCTTATTCCAAATGTGTGCTTAGGCAACAAAATATGAATTAAGAGAGTCAACTCAAAGAGTTCATTCTATACTAGCCCAGTTCAGCCCTCTTTCTCAGGTGCTTGGCTACAGGCTCACATATTTCTTTCTCTCATCTTCAAACATATAAATAGATGTTATCTGTTGCTGTAAGATCATCACTGCATTAGGGCTTCCTAGTCTGTCAGACTGTTTGTAGGATGCAGGCTTATTTTCTACAAAGGTTGGAAGAGATGTGCAATGGGTAATGCAAGGATGCTTGACCACAGAGGACTGGTTGAAGTAATGTAATCTGTCTCCTTTGTTCCTGTGTGGTGCTGGGAAGATCTTGGCTTGTGGATAGCTTCTGACAGCAATCACTTTGCGATTAGTTTGTTGATGTGGTATTTGTCATCTGTTCTTGGGCTAGCATCTTTCTTTGGGTACTCTACAGTACCAGCAGCTCCCCCCATTCCCAGGCACAAAAGGTCTTTTAATTCCTAGCATCAGGGACAAAGTCCATCATAAACCACAGTGTGGGGTGGAAAGGGAACCGGCGGAGAGAACTGGTCTATTTCTTACCCCTTTGAGAGGAACAGAATTGAACAAAATCTCAGACTTTACTTGCCCTTGATAGGACAGACAAATCTGCATGCTTCTATCCTCAGGTCCATCCTGGTCATGATCACAGAAATAGAGCTGTATTTATTTTTTCTAAGGATCAAGACATAGATGTGTCCCTCAGCTGTGCCACGTGCTTAGGATATAGTTTCCGCAAGTGTTTGGCTCCCAGGCTGTTGGCATGCATTTTTAACTCTTTGCGTGGCAGTGGGGATGCTGATCTTTCAGCTTGCTTGGCTTAATAGCTCTATGTGTTTAAAGTGGAGAATGCTCTGCATATACAAGTAAAGTTGGTACTTCAGACATATTCACTACTACTTAATGCACAGCAGCCTGAAGAATATAGTCATAAGGATCTCATCATATGCGCTCAGATTTAGTGGGTACTCTTACCTTTGCTGCCTTTCCATACAGCAGTGCTTATGCTTTGACCTTGACTAGGAGGGAAAAAGTAATTCTGTCAGTCCCCAGTAACTGTTTGTACACTACAGTGTTGAGCCTCCAAGATACTCACAAGAAACATGATACCACGTTTCTTCAATCTTCAGAGCAGGGTTTGAAATGAAAGTAAATAAAACATATGGTGCTCACACACTAAGTAACCAAGCGAAAAGAAATCCGAAGTATGAATATTTGTTTCCAACTACTACTGTGTATCCTGTGCACTAAATGATGTGCAGGGGCTGTGTGTCTGTGGGGATACTGACTGTATGCTGTAGTAGCCTTGACAGCTTAATCTGACTTTACAAAGGTGTTGGATTAAGGTTGCTCAAAGCAACCTAAGTCATGGCGTTTCCTTGCCAGTTTTTAGAGTTTGACCTGGCATTCTTTTCAGAACTGGCATTTGCAGGAAAACAGAAGCCAACACTTTTCAAACAAGGCTGCCAGGCCCTTAGGTCCTAGGATGATCACTTGTTCGTGGTCACATTTTCAAAAGTATCCAAGAGCTTCAGTTTCAGCAGCTTCCTCTGGCGGCTGAGGAGCCTCAGCAATTTCAGAAATAGGACTGCTTTTTAAAATTCATCTACCTTTAGGCCTCCAAATCTATCAGTGTAGGCCTTTTCACACAACACTTAAAAGTGGATGTCTCCAGATCATGTCTAACAGAGCTGCCAAACATCTGGCAAAGACAGAACAGTTTGATGGTGTCTTCCTGTTGGAGATCATGTTGGATCAAAGCAGAGCTGATGTATTTTTTCTTATCTAAGTGGATATATGAGAGAGAGAGAGAGAGAGAATGAGGAGACATGGGAATGTGAAGTTTTGCATAGCTTGCATAGCTGCTGCTTCTTTTATGTCCATCTTGGCAAAGGGCTGGAGGGGACTTGTTTTCTGAACATTCATCTGTGTATGGACAATTCATTTAAAAGAAGAAATTCAGTATAAATATGTTTCTGGTAACACATACACTCCACTAAAATTTCTGTATGCGTGTTAAAAATCCAGGAGTGGTAAAACAGCACTCCTGCAACAAGCTGTGTATTTTGTGTGATAGCTTGTTTGTGACAAGGGCCAGAGTTGATGTTCTCATAGCCATCTTCTTCTGAGGTCAGCAGGTCGTATGTTGGCAGTTATTTCAGCATTGGGTCACTAGACTGCCATAAGTGGGAAGTTAACAATTCATTGAATTTTTTGTGAGACGCTTGTCTTAAGAATAGTGTTCTGAGTTTTGAATGTCTATGTGCTGCCCCAGTGTGAGTTCATTTTGTTATATGCAACTTCGAGCAACTTTCCAGTGGAGGAGAAATTGCAGACTAGATGTACAGTTCAACAGAGCACTTGAGCTGTAGCTGGTTATTCTGGGATTAGTGCTGTTGGCTCACTGTACCATTTTGTTGCTGGAAATTGAGCCTTTTTTGTTTTCCAGTTATTTAATGGTACTTCTGTTAACCTGTTGATCCACCAAACTGTCGCACTTCCAGAAAAACTGCAACTATCCTTTGCATTTTTCAGGATTGCTTGCTAAGAAAGCTGTTGAAGCTGGTTTGACAGTGAAGCCATACATTAAAACTAGCCTGTCCCCAGGAAGCGGGGTTGTCACTTACTATCTGAGGGAGAGTGGAGTTATGAGTTACCTTTCCCAACTAGGGTAAGAGTGCTTTTCTTACTGTTGCCCTACGGCTGCTTAACTAAAAGCATTGACAACAAGCGATGCAATAGAGTAACTATTTCTCTGTATAGCATAAAAGATATGGCAGGTACCCTATGGCAGGATCCTGCATGGGTTAATGCATTGCTGTTGTGCTGGCTGACTTTGTGCAAACAGGAGAGGGTGCCTGTTGCCTGCTGTAGCTTCTTGAAGACTCATGTTCTTAAGCAGGAAAAAGGTTTATTTGTCAAGGCTAATGGTTTTAAAATAGCACTATATTGTTGTTCGTCTTGCTGGATAACACATTTCCCAGATCGTCATTCTATGTGCACGGACAGTCACTGAAATGATAAAAATTGAGCATTCTCAAAAACGCTTTTTTTTGGCAGCAATTAATTTGTTAAAATAGTACATCTTCTGAAAGTAACCCTAGCCAACTACTAAGGGGTTAAACGTCTTGTTCCAAAATAGCTTTATGTTCACTGATCGTTTTTGTGCTCTGTCTAGGTTTGATGTGGTGGGTTATGGCTGTATGACATGTATTGGTAATAGTGGACCCCTACCAGAGTCTGTTGTTGAGGCCATTACACAGGTATGCAGTTTTTCGTGTGCTGTTCTGAGTTGTGTTATATTGTGTACTAACTCCTCTCAACTGCGTGCAAAGTAAATTCAGTCTATATTCTTTTCTGTGGGAAGTGTTCATTGGGATTGTTTGGAAGGAGACAGTTCCATGACTGTCCAGTCATTGATGTCGCAGCATGGTGCAGCTCTGCAGACCTGCTGGGTGTGTGGAGTCTGCAAGCTACCTCAGCTACCTTTGTCTCAAACTCTCTCTTACAGGGAGACCTTGTCGCGGTGGGTGTGTTGTCTGGCAATAGGAATTTCGAAGGGCGTGTCCATCCCAACACCCGTGCTAACTACCTAGCCTCTCCGCCACTGGTAATAGCCTATGCAATTGCAGGGACTATCAGGATTGACTTCGAGAAAGAGCCTTTGGGTAAGACAATATCAGGGTGCTTCTTTTCACAGCTTGTAAACTAAATTGGTTGGAATTAAGCTCTTCAGAAACATTTGTCCTAGGGAGATGCTTCAAATGACTGAGTACTTCTGGGACACAAAGCATGCAATTGTTAAGAAACAGAGCAACAAGGAGACTGTATGATGGAGAAAGGGAGAAGCCAAGCCTGACCAGTATTCTGATTTCACAGGGGCATCTTTTTGGTTATATCTGGGTGGCAGTCTCTCATAAGCAACCTGACCTTGTAGACTTACTTTGAGCCAGTAGTTCAGCTAGACAGCCCTTAAGGATCCTTTCCAATGTCAATTATTCTATAAATTATTCTGGAAGGCTGTTGGGAATCACAAAAGAAGGTGTATGTACAGGCATCATCAAGTTTATGAGGCCCTCTTCTGTTAGATCCTTGTAGGAGAAATAAAGTGTGTCTCAGAAGTGTTGAAAAGGTTAGATGGAACACATAGCTAAAGGACACCATGCTAAACTTTTTCTTTCTTTCTTAATGGGAAACTTTTGCAGCAAACATAACAATAGCATTTTCTACAGGAATAAATGCTTCGGGAAAGAAGATTTTCCTGAAAGATATCTGGCCAACAAGAAACGAGATTCAGGCTGTTGAGCGTCAGTTTGTTATTCCTGGGATGTTCAAGGAGGTCTACCAAAAAATAGAGGTGAATTAATTCCTTGGACAGTAATTTGATAGTTAGTGTGCTATTCTGAAGATGTTAAATAAGCTGGTCTTGATAATGAAACAAACCTTTTGCTTCTATTGCTGTTGCTCTGTTCGGACAAGTAGTCAAATGAGATTGTTTTTTTAAAATGGTTTCTGGTTAATTAAGTGGTTCTTACAGACAATCGTGTCCTGAAAATAGCTCCTTAATATTTGTTTTTAATGTAACAGAGAGATGATGTGTTTTAAACAGTCATCCCAGGTTGATATTAGAAAGTGAGATATTCCAGCTTTACAGATGTTTGTTTTTTTTCAGCTGACATAAAATTAATTTGCATTACTTAATAGCATTCACATCAGAAAAAAAATTGTACTTGGTAATGCCTTTCAGTAAGCCTTTCTCAGGTCTTGAAACAAAACATTTGTAAGGTTTACATGTTAGGAAGGCTTCTTAACCTTACTGATAAATACACTTGAGAATTATAAAGTGTTATCTGTGTCCATAATACAGATTACTGTCAGAAAATTGGATGAGCAACTCTTCTTTTGTAATGAAGTGAGCGTTTTCCTAAGTCTTTTAATAGCTATAATCATAAAATAATAATAATAAAAAAAAAAAACAAAACAAAAAAAACCCAACAAACATAATGTATATTGTCATAGGAATTTCCCAAAGTGCTTCAAGAAATACACATGGCTTTTGTTGAAGTCAAATGTGTAATTTTACCTGGATTCTGAAGTAATTCCATTGATTCTGAGAACTTAGAAATCAGTGGCATGTTTTTGTGTGTTTTTCAGACTGTAAACAAATCTTGGAATGCCTTAGATTCTCCTTCAGATAAACTATATACTTGGAATCCCAAGTCAACTTACATCAAGTCTCCACCTTTCTTTGATGGTCTGGTACGTGCACGCTTTCTCTTTGAATCAAACCAGAGTGTGTAGTGACCTTGACTAATGCTAAAGGTGAAGCAAAGCCACTTCAAGAGGCCTGGGAGCATCCGTCATAGCCTGTTGATGCCTGGGTTGTCAAATGTTAGAATTACACTATTGTATTCATTTTAATACAAAGGCATGAATGAATCTCAAAATTTTAAGGATTCTCTGTCACTTCAGGGCTTTTGAAAAGTCTCCTTTTCGTTTTAAGCTGAAATACTTTTAAATAGTCACAAAGGAACTGAGAGAAAAAGGGCAGGAAATGAAACCCACAATTCCACCTGCCTGCATTTTGCACCAAGTATTTCAGTGTTCAGATTGCTATTTCAGTACCATTTAAAAGCAAACACAGATTTCAATGCATGCAGATGTCTAGGTATCCTGGATTTTTCATCTGTGTTCACACATGTACCACAGGAAGCCTCAGCTAATTTTTTTGCCTCATCTATTTTCTTCATGCATGAACTTCCTGACAGACAGCCAGGACATCATATTTTATGCAAGAACATAAACATTTTTAATCAGGTTGGGTCTTTTCTTTCTTCTAACTTATATAAAAAAGGAGACTTTGTTTTGTAATTTGTGCTTTTGAGAAAGGTAAAGGAATTCTGTGTCATATTTTAATGATTTTGTTTGTGCTTATGACTGTTTAGACTTTGGCTCTTCAGACCCCGAAAACAATAGAAAATGCTTATGTCTTGTTGAGTTTTGGGGATTCTGTGACAACCGACCACATATCTCCAGCTGGGAATATAGCAAGAAATAGTCCTGCAGCCCGTTACTTGACTAGCAGAGGGTAAGCTCTACTTCATGTTCTTTTTATAAATTAAGAAGGGCAAAAAAGCCACAGCTACTATACCGTGTTACAGGCACGCATATCTGCTGTCTGTTCACATACACTTGTATAACTTGACGGATGCCTGCAAGATATATAAAAGAAGAAAGAAAAGCATTTCTTTCTCTGCTGTTTCAGCAGCTCTCAGCAAGTGTAAGAACTTGCATGGAGTGTGCACGTCTATTACACTGGAGAGCTGAAGACTTTTGTAGGGACAGAGGGGAAAAGGTAACTCCCAGGCTAGTTTTTGCAGTGTCTATTTGTAAAGGACTAAATCAGGATTTGTCTCCCTATCGTAGCAAAATGATCATAGTCCTTAATGTGAAAAATTGGTTTTATACTCACTTCTTCTAGCATGTGCAACTATTTCATAGATCTAGGCTATCAGTAGCTACAGAACTTCTAGAGATTTAGGTTTCAGCGTAGCTGTGAAAACTGGCAAAACTATCGTGGCTGGGAGTCCAAACTGCTGTAAAATGTTGGTCTTTTTCTATGGCCAGCCTGTCAGTTTAGTACTCTGGGTACAACTTAAGTCAAGACTAGGACTTGCTGAGTTGCCCTGTTCAGTCTTCACAGATAACATAATACTTTTATTCTTTGGTTTAGGACTTCTTACAGCTTCAGGGTGTTTTGAGGAACAGCACTGACATACACCAAAAAAAATATTTTTACTAGACCTAATAATTCTGGGGAGGAAATTGATTAAACCAACGTGATCTACTGAAAACTGTATGCTCTGGACTTTTTGGCCCTCTGCTATCAGCCACTTTGAAATATCTAAACAGTCCTACACACATTACAAAACAGATGTTGTGTGTCATAGCTGCTGTTTGGATGTAGCCCAATGTAAACAGTTCAATTTTCTGTCACATTCCAGCACATGTTTTGTTTACTGGTGAGGCTGGAGGGTCCCCTCATTCCCATATCTCTGTTTGCAAATGAACTTTTTCTTCTGTAGTTCTAACTTGCAGCAGGGGCTCTCTCTGCCTTTTGGATGGTTAGCATAGTGGTGTCTCTACATTTGTTCAAGATGCTATGGTAATACAAATAAGGAGGATTTTCAGTAGCCAGCTGTTAGGTCAGAAGATGCAATACAGTTCTTAGAGTTCTTAACATGAGCTATATCCTTCCGTCACTGTCAGATACTGTTTTCTAGGGTAAAGGATGAGAATACTATGGAAGCTGCTTTCTGTGACCAAGCTGTAGACAGGCTTCTCTTTTTTTTTTAATTATTTCTTTTTCCTTCAAAAAAATCTTAAAAGTAGAAGTATCAGCTAACTGGATGCTACTGCCATAATGGGAACTATGTGCTTACCTGCCTCAGAAACACCAGTTCATTACTTTCTTCTTTTAAAGCACAGAGTGCTTCAGTCTAAAAACAACACCGTTTCCTGTTTTTCTTTGTTTTCTTTTCCCTTAATAGCTTGACTCCTCGAGAGTTCAATTCTTATGGCTCCCGCAGAGGGAACGATGCTGTCATGGCCAGAGGAACATTTGCAAACATTCGCTTGGTGAACAAATTTATTGATAAACAAGGACCTCAGACTGTCCATTTCCCTTCTGGGGAAACTGTAAGTACACAGGCTGCTCTAAACTGAGGCTCATTGACAGTAGAGTGGATTAGTACTGGCTTTCCTTCTTACAGCTTAGGTCATTTACTTAAGTGTCCTTTAAGTAAAGCTTATGAGGGGACAGGAGCTGTATTGACCTAGGGAAGCAGGTCACACATACCTACATCATGTGCTACCAGGTCTATCAGTGGAGAGTACAACCACTGTAGAAGTGGTAGTGGAAGGTGCAGGTTTGTGTTCAGAGTGAGATCAGGCTAGAAGCCACAAAGCACTGTATGGTTAATATCCTTAAATATCCTGTTTGGCAAAAAGTGTGGGCTTCAGCTATTTATGTGGGGACACTTTTTTTTTCTTTGTTTCCCTGGAACTGTGATTCCACCCCCAAAAAGTATATAAAGTATTTGGCATTTTCATTCCAGCTGGATGTGTTTGATGCTGCAGAAAGATATAAGCAGGATGGCCATCCCCTGATTGTGCTGGCTGGGAAGGAATATGGTGCGGGAAGTTCCAGAGACTGGGCAGCTAAAGGACCATTCCTCTTGGTGAGTAACTACAGTAAAGTATAAGGACGACAGTACATAAGTGTATTCATTTTTGAGGAAGACTAGCTTATGACCAACATCCTGGGTAGCTCATTCTCACTTTTGGTAGCAAGAGCTGCTTTGAAATCCCAGCTGCCTCCAAGAGCAACAGCAGAGTTGCAAAAGCTATTTAAATATTAATAGATCCTGTCCAGACTGGAAGCCTTGACTGATCTTCAGCTAGAAATCCACAAGGCTACACCAGAAAACCAGTTTCTTTACTTCTGCTTCCCATAACTCTGTAAACCTTGGGTCTGCTTCCAGCTGCCTCGTTCAGCTCACTTAGCAGGGAAGATAGAAAGCGTAAAAGAAAAGTAGTATCTGTGAAAGTGAAACTTAGCAAACTTAGCATGGCTTCACCATGCAGATTGCAGGGATGTTTAGCAGTATTGTTACAGGAGCCTAATAGAAATCCATGTACAGTGAAATATCTGTTTCATTCTTTGTCCTGTCCAACCAGCCCGAACTCTGATTGAAGCTTTCTTGGTGTGGAATTTGTAAAGGCAATAGCGTGTGTATTATTTAACAAAATTAGAGTTGGTGTTTAACATTACATTTGTCTAAGTTTCTTGTTTTGGTTTTGGTTGGTTTGTGTTTTTTTTTCCAGTGGTGATTTTATTGTCTTGACTGTATTAACATGTAAAAATTTAGAAATTAATTAAAATGCATCCTGGTGCTTGTAGTGTAGGAGGGCAACACTGAATTAACGAGAGTTATGGACATGATTAGTGGTCCTCTACATGAGACATGTTAAAGAAGGATGCAGTATTCCTGAGAAAGCCTGTGTAATTTTTTGACAATCAGACTTCTTTTAAAGATGTTTGAAAGTTAACATATAATCGAGTCATCCTGGACAGCCCACTGTTAGACAGATCTGCTGACTCTACCAGTAGCTGGTAAATGAAATGGAGGGGACCACAAACATACCAATTTCCCTCCTATGAGCACAGAAAAACGATCCAAAACCATGAAGATAACTGTACCTATTGTGTATTTCCCAGGGTGTCAAGGCTGTGCTTGCTGAAAGCTATGAGAGAATTCATCGAAGCAACCTAGTAGGGATGGGAGTGATTCCTCTGCAGTATTTACCTGGAGAGGATGCAGGAACTTTAGGACTCACTGGACGGGAGCGTTACACCATTATCATTCCTGAAAAACTAAAACCGCAAATGAAGATCCAGATTAAGGTATGCGACACCTATAGGCTGAATTTTCTGAATCACTGTAGTTTCACTCAAAATTCACTGTGTCTTCAAACAATGTGCTTTCATATCGCAGTAAACTTCTCTCACCTGAGGAAGGGAGAAGAATTGAGATGGTGAAGGGGATGAAAACAGTCATTGTAATAGGGATTTGCTATGATGGGATATAAAAGCAGCGTGCCCAGACTGCTTTATTTAGCACAAAGCAGTCCTGTATTTTGGACCAGTCTTTCAAAGTCCAGAGTTTCTGTCTCAATTAAATGTTTGAAGCACAATAAAAAGCGAACTGTAAGTATTAAATTAAATAAACTAATTTATTTAAATGAATTTAAAATTAAAATAGTTCACTGACAATTCAACTGATAGAATATTGTATGCTGCAGCATTCAAAGTGAAGTCTAAGCATACCCAGCATAACATCTAATTAAACTTCAGGCCCTGTATTTGAAAGACTGCTTTTTGTCTAGCTTTGCCTCCAAACTTATGCCCTTTTTTGAAAAATATTAGCATCTGTGATAAAAATTTTGTTTCTTCTTTATTGGAATATCTGTAAAACGGACTTATTTAACCTAATAGCATCAAAATCTGGGGTTTTGGTTTTTTGGTTTTTTTTTTCCTGTGGTTAGTAAAACAATCTACTTACTGCGTGTTCATTTAATGCAGGTGGTCTACCTGGATTAGTTTCTAACAATAGTTGTTTACCTGTGCCTTATTAATTGCCCTGAAATTGAGAAAGTGTATATCCCAAAGAGTGGGTCAGCTTATCAGTCACAGATGAACATTGTGCATTCATCTGGAAGTACCTGACTAGGGGAGTCTTCAGTAAAACATAATTCATTTTATGCACTTGTCTTTGTGCTTTTCTGATTCCCAAACACTAGCCCTCAAAGACAGCTAACAAAATTAGTTGTACCGAAGCCAGAAGAATGATTACATAGAAGAACAGCTTGAAAGGATGGTCAGCTTTTGTGCGTCTAGGGTTATATCAACAACAAATCTAAATGAGGCAAGGCAGCAAATACAATGCAAGGAGATCCCATACTGTGTTTATTATGGTTTGCTTTAAACCACTTTCCTCTTAAGCAGCTGGCTCTAGTCTAGTGTGGGAAGAAATACTGATGTCCAGTGCTTGTTCACTTTGGCTTTCTATCACAATTGGCTAAGATGGCAAAACTGTTGTAATAGTCCTTATTTTACGATGATGTCATGTAACGTATGGAAGGTTCTGCTGCTTGAATGACTTTCTTTGACCCCAACAGCTGGATACTGGGAAAACCTTTCAAGCCATCATGAGATTTGACACTGATGTGGAGCTTACTTACTTCCACAACGGCGGCATTCTGAACTACATGATCCGTAAAATGGCATCCTAATCAAAAACATTAAGCAAAAACATCCAGGTACAAGCCTGCTTCTGGTGAGCGCAATAAAACTGTGGTAATCATAAATTTGAAAGCGTGAACCGTAAAGTGAACAATTTTTTTTATGGAGTGTGTTAGAAGGCTTGTTTACAATGCTGAATTATTTTGTGTATCAGGAAACTGGACACACTTGCCCAATTTAAGTAAACAGCATTTATTATTTGTTTTGTATGGTGGTTGGCTTCACTTACCTTAGAATACAGTGCAAAAGTCATTAAAATACTGCTGGAATCTGTGGAACAGTTGAAGATCATGTGCTGATTTCATATATTTGGTCCTTTTAGTTTGACTCTGAAGTTAAGTTCTATGCTCATATCAGTGGTCCAAAAATTAACTGACAGTATAAAAAATAATTATTATTTCTTCCTAATTACCTGATATTGACTTGCTTTCTTATTCAGTTGACCAGAATCTGAATCTAATACTGAAATTAATTATTTAGCTGTCTATTAATTCTAAAAAATGTGAACTTTGTTGTTTAAAACCTAAGCCTTTGTGGAAAGGTGGACCTATTGGGGATAATATTTCTAATGGATAAAATTAAATTTATTTTCAAGAACTTTGGTGGGTTTTGTCGTGTTATTCTCAGTACAGGGATGCAGAAGAAAGCTTTGACTTTTAAACTCTTCTCATTGTCCCTGTAGGAGCAGAGTCATACAAGTTTTGATTTCTCGGATTTTAATTCTTGTTTCTTTGAATACTCTGCATGAGACAGGACGAATACAAACACTGTCAGATACTGGCAGTCTTCTGTAACCCAACAAAATACTACTGTGATGTACTTCCCTCTGTTCTGTGTCCTCAAGAAGACAATCTACCGCAATTTCAAGATCCTTGTCAGCAGTTTTTATGGCAGTTAGCAACCAGTGATTACACTAATGCATTAATTGAATTGACGGCCAAATCCACAATACCACATGAATCTATTTACAGTGATAACAAAAGTACTTTTACTCAGAGATAAACAAGGTTATAGTACTAATTCTTACTCTTAACTTCATTTAGAGCAACTAGCACAACAATTAATACAGTGGAGAAATTCTTTCAAAGTAATCTCCTAATGTACTTTTAATGTAGTTGGCTCCAGCTGTATCTGGGAAAAAAACCCAAACCCAATGAAAATAGTTCTGAAAGAACTAAGCCTCAGGAGGATTAAGGAGGGGATAGAGATTGCACTGTTCCTGCAACAGGCTATTCTTGCTTGATTACAGCAAACAGAGCTCCTCTAGTGAGTCCAGCAGATGCCCAGTAAGATGTTGCAGGGTCTGAAGCATCTCTCATGAGGACAAGCCAAGAGAACTGGGACCTAGTATTTTTGGAGGGGAGGCATTATCCAACTATAAATCATCTTTATCCATTGTTCTGTGTTTCCTTTTTGGAAGCAGCTGCAAGAACAGCAAATTTACCAGGTAAAAACTAAGCACAGAGTAAGTTACTATGCGACTAAGATTCAGGCTTCCTGTACAGTGCATACAGCTTTCACAGTAAAAGACATGGACTGGGGTGGAACATGAAGCAGTGCTTAAAAAGCTGTTTTGCTTTTAATGCCACATAACAATGTTTAAAAGAACACCACAAGTCTCACTGATTAGGGTTTAGGTAGTTTAAATAATTTTGGGGCTCTGAGTTAGATTCCTGTTCAAGGTAGTTTGTTTTCTTCAGAGTTCAGGTGTTTCATACACATAATTTTTCTATGTACATACCTTACTACACTATCAAATGCAGAAAGCGAATGGAAAATATATTTGGTGTTGGGTCTAGAAATATTGAAGATTAAGCTCACTGCAGATATGTAGAAGCAAAGGTGGTTTAAATTTTAATAATACTTCGTAACTGCGTTTGTAAGCAATTTCTGATTTTCTGAGAGAAGTCTGGGATCTGGGTGGGGAGAAGGGACTTAAACACACTAATGCCCAGACTTTGTTCCCGTTGTAGATCAGCTCTGACAGGAAACTTGCAGAATTAACGTTAGTGTCTTGAGAGATTTCAGATGACAATTCGTGAGACAGCACATCAGTGGAAATGCTAATCACCATTTAAATCAAGCCTTAACCCATCTTACAAGGCACTGCCTTGTCGCTCTTGGGGCTTGTTCAGTTAAGCAACACATAGAAAGGTGTTCATTCTGCAATTTCAGCAACAGCAACTTGATAAATGTGTGGTGATAAGAAGAAAACAATGCTACCATTTTAATCCAGAAGATGCCTCCTCCAAGAGGGCTCTGTGAAGCCCTACTGCTTTTCTCATGTTGTTGCAAAAGCATTGTTTAATAAAGATGGATTTAAAAGATGCAATATCTTCTTTACAGAAAAGTTACTGGACATTTTCTCTTAATTTTCTATATACCAAAATGCCTAGAGCATTAAAAGTAATTTTTAAAAAGCTTTAAAAGTAGCTAAAGTGGTGCTTAAAGTGTCAGTATCCGTACGCGATGTTGTCTGCATGGAAGTACAATCCAACCAGAAGTTACCAGTAACAAAGAAGATTCTGATTCACACAGAAATACTTGAAGTTGTGGCTTGTCACCTAAAATTAGATGTTTATTTAGTCATTCAACTTCATTTTGTTTTTTTCAGACCAACTTCTTCATAGCAGCAAGCATTAACATCTGTATGCTTAGGCACTTGTTTGTCCATGCTTATATTAAAACTTTTAGTGAAATATTTCATTAGATATCAATTTTTTTTATTGACCATGTTAGTCTTTTTTAATCTGGTCAGATGCTGATGAGGGACCTAGCATATCAGGCAGTATAAAGAACAAGATTTTTTTTCTACATAGAAACAGATCATCCTATTTCAGCTTAGTGCAATAGGGTGATACACTCACTAAAAGGCTGAGTTCAACTGGATGTTTCTTCAACGTCAAAATTCTTCAAAGAAAAATTAATATTTTTCCATTTCTGAAAATCCATTTGTGTCCCAGTTTCAACATTCTCTACTACAAAGCTTTTGATCTTGATCACTGGTAGATTATCAAATGTCTTGTACTTCACTATAATTCCCCAGTCATGCTGGCAACTAGTATTTTGGCAATGCATCTTGCTTTTTTTCTCGAAACAATCAAACTGGACTGCTTTCTGGTGAGGCTTTGTTATGTAACGCTGCTTGAACGCATCTCCAAGGACAGTGTGGTGAGATTCCTGAAACAGCACAGGCCAGAACCGGTTAATAGTCAAAACACCATTCCTTACTTTTTTTCCTGACATTCCCCTTCCCCTCACAAATACCATTTCCCGTGTAAGGTGTGTCCTGTTCAGGAGGCTCACCTCCTCTTGTAAAACCATGGTTTTCCTTTCCTTTCAAAACTGAAAACTGGCCCATAAGCCAAGGACTTAAACAATGAGCTGGTCTCAGTACTTTGTCTAGATAATTGTCAGTCAACAGAAATGGTGGGAGAAATCTCTCAACTGCAGGAAGATTTCCAATCTTATGCTAATTGAGAAAGTAAATAAGCAGCAGTTATACCAGTAGGTTATGTCATTGAAGATCATACGGTTTTCCACAAAATTAATCAATTTCTAACAGAAGGGGGTTCAGGAAAACTGAAGTGATTCCTGTCATATCACATATTCACACACCTTGGGCATCATCAAGAATACTTGATGTACAATACCTACACAATATATAATACATACTCAGGGTTTTTTTCTGCTCCATTTTGCACAAAATAGCCTACTTTCCACACTGATAAACAATGCCATTAGTTCACTAATGCTGACTTGCCTGGTATTCATGGATGTAGGTTTCCATACAGAGACATACCTTTATAATTCTGATGTCATCTGTACTGCAGGCATACGCTTTGCATTTTCCACACAGAAGATTTCTTTTCCCTTCCACTACCTTAGGTCTTGTTGCTTTCTTCCTGGAATCTCGTAATACCTTTTCCTTCATTTGCAGGTCATGTATCTTTAATAAATAAATAAAAGTCAAGATCATTGTGAAATTAAGAGAAGCCTCAATGTCTGTCTAAACATGAGTCAGGATATGTAACATCTGGGAATCTATTACTTAAAAGCAAACACACAAAACATGCCTTGTTCTAGCAACTCATACCAGAGAAAGAAAGTGGTACGTTTGTCAGGTTAAGAATGCAAGGCTAGAATAAGACTACATGATGGACAGCATTTATGCCATATCTGTTCCTTCCACCCCCCCTCTACCCTACTATGTCCCCTTTGGTCATAATGCTGTTATATCCGTGTGAAGACTAAATCATATGAGACTCCCTACAGCAGAATTAGTGCTGCTGCTCTGGGAAGATCACCATTTAGAAAGTAGGCTGCAGAGACCACAGAAATTGCACACAGAGAAAGAGGCAACAGCCACAGCCTAGAGCTGGGAACCTGCAGCTTATGCAGAAACAGAATCCTCTGAAGAGAAGCAGAAGCAGCCAAACCAATCCTCAAAGATGGGAGAAGAAAATTCACAAAAGCTAGAGGGCCTTGGACATCCTTTGTTGCACAGCTCAGTGTCTGAAGCTTGCCTGGAAACATGGGGTGATCTGCAAATCCACAGGGATATGACAGAACTGTAGTGGCTGCACCTGGCTTATGTCAGTCTTCTCTGGGAAACCTGTTACAAAGGTCTAGGGAGATAGAACCATAGAATCATTTAGGTTGGAAAAGACCTTTATGATCATTGAGTCCAACTGCAAAGCTAACACTACCACTGTCTGAAGCTTGCCTGGAAACATGGGGTGATCTGCAAATCCACAGGGATATGACAGAACTGTAGTGGCTGCACCTGGCTTATGTCAGTCTTCTCTGGGAAACCTGTTACAAAGGTCTAGGGAGATAGAACCATAGAATCATTTAGGTTGGAAAAGACCTTTATGATCATTGAGTCCAACTGCAAAGCTAACACTACCACGTCCCTAAGTGCCACGTCTACACGTCTTTTAAGTACCTCCAGGGATGGTGATTCAACCACTTCCCTGGACTGCCTATTCCAATGCTTGACAACCCGTTCTGTCAAGAATTTTTTCCTAATATCTCTCCTAAACTTCCCCTGGCACAACTTGAGGCCATTTCCTCTAGTCCTATCACTTCTTCCTTGGGAGAAGAGACCGACCCCCACCT